CCACGGGTCCCGGCATGTCCCAGTGCCAAGCCTGCAGGTCCCAGTACATTCCATCCCCTCCCAGCACGGCGAGAGGGAAACGGTGACTCAGAGGCGCCAGAGGCTGCCGAGCCAGTGGGAGCCAGGTGCCCCTTTGCCCCATGTGGGGCGATTGCCGTGGCCACCCCAGCCGATCGCCCGCGGATGCTCCCGGTTCCCCGGCAGCCGCAGCCCCACGCCGAGCCCAGCCGCGCTGCCTCTCTCCCGCTCCCCTCCCATCCTCTCCCCTTCCTGCGCGCAGACACCCTTGGAAAGGCTCTTGGCCGCTTTCTCTGAGACAGGAAGGTGTCCCCGAGTCTCAGGAAGGAAAAACACTCAGTGCTGAACCCACAAAGACCGTCTCCGAGGGGCCGGGGCTGGAGAGGCTCCAGGCCTGACATCACCTGGGAACTGGAACCAGAACCGCAGCTGCACTCCGCGCCTGGTATTTTTTTCTTTAACTTGTGTTTTTAAACTTTCTTTTTATAGATTTTTTTTTTCCCCTTTCCCTTCTCCATTCCCCTCCCAAATATTTCAGCCTCTCCGCAGTTTAACCTTGCCGGGCCAGCGGGGCTGGAATGCAGCAGGGCTGCACCCGTGGCCAGAGCCCGGCGGTGCCGAGAGCCACCACGCTGAGGGGATGGTCGAGGCCAGGTCCAGCTGGGCAGGAGCTGTCAGAGCCATGGGCAAGCGGGCAGAGGGCTCGGGCAGGGGCTTACTCCCTGGTGATGGGGGGCCAGGACCCCACAGCCCCTGGCACTGCTGTGCACCACGGCCAGTAGAAAGGGACTCACGGCCTCACGGGGACCTAGGAGGGTCCAGCCAGGGATGGGGGCGTGGGAAGATGGAGCTGCCACAGTGGAGGGGTCTGGCAGAGACTTCAATTGGTGGGCAGCACTGCTTGTCCTCACCCATGGGATCTCCCGCCCCATGGGATGGGGCAGCGGGGTCAAGCCATGTTTGAGCTTGAGCTGGAGCTTGAGCCTGATCCTGATCCTGTGCCAGCCAAGCAAGCAGAGCCAGCCAGGGATGTGGGACACAAAGGCAGGTTTCAGCCCTGGGGTCCAGTCCTCCTCATGCTTTGTCCTCTGGTAACACCTATGGGTGCTGCCTGGCCCTTGCTGGACTCCTCCCAGAGTAGAGACTCAGGATAAAGACCCCAACGTGTCTTACAGCAGCATCAGAGCAAAGCTCAGCCACTTGCTGCTCAGGGAATCCTCCCTGTTGCAGTGACCACAGTGACCATCACAAGACCCCTGGCCTTGTCGGACCTGGGGTCAGAGGACAAGTGACCCCCAGCATCTAGATGGCAGCAGGTGGGGACAGGGAGACAGGGCGACAGGAGGACAGGGCTCTCCTGCCCAGGGCACTGTATGGGGAAGGACCAGGGAGGGATGGGCAGCCAAGGCAGAGGTGGGATGGACACACCATGAACCACAGTGTGATGGGCACACCGGGATGGGATGGGATGGGCAGACCAGGTCTCAGTGTGTTGGCCTCCAGACTGGGGTGCTGGGCAGTCCCTGCCCCCCCATGCCAGCAGACAGATCGTACTGACCCCACCAGCACCCTCCCAGGGTCCCCATTGAAGGAACAGGGCAAAGGGTCTGCTTGAGTCCCCCAGGACACCCTCCAGCTCCTCACCACTCTCTCCAACGCCTCTGTGGGCACTAGCACCCCTGGTGCCACCACCCAGCCTTGTCCCCCTGTGCACTGGAGCTGCTCGCCCCGCCGGGACCTTGTGCTGGCCACGGTCCCCGGGGACGTGGGCCCCGTGGGCAGGGACAGGGTGTGAAGCCACGGCGCGGGGTGAACGCCAGGTTAATCTCCCGCTGGAGCTTCCCTCTGCAAACAATAAGACAATGCCCGGCCGGGGGCCGCCTGCGTAACCAGCGGTGCAGAGGGGAAGTTGTAATATTTGGATTTAGCACTCAGTAAATTAAGGAAGAAAAAGGAAAAAGCGCTGGGGGTAATCAGAGCGGGGCTGGCCCCGTGCCCTGCCCCATGGCCAGCGGCCCCGGGGGGCTCAGCCCAGCTTGGGGATGGCTGCTGAGCTGGGCCAGTGTCCTCCAGAGCCTGAGTGGCCAGGCATGGCTGGGAAAAGCAGCAGTCCCCGAGGGCTGGGCAGGGGACAGGCATGTCCCCACCGTGGGGACACGCAGCCCAGGGGGTCGAGGCTCGGGCACTCAGCAGGGCTGCGGGCAGCACTGACAGCAAACACGGCATCTCCTGCGCCACCAGAAAAGGGATCTGGGCCAGGAGTTTATTTTAATCCAGACCTGCTCACGCTCATGGGAAATAAAATCCTGTTTCTGCAGCTGGGGTGGCCAAGCAGGAGAGGGCCCCAGGGGGATGGTCACCTCCAGCTGACAAAGGTCGGGGTGGCAGGGGGTGACAAGCGAAGGGGGGTCTCCCTGGGGTCCCCTCCCCTGCGTGGGGCCGTGCTGGGACTGCGTGGGGCGAGGGACCCCTCTGAGTGGGTATGGGGGCCCACGGGCACTGCACCTCTTGGGAGTCACTGGGGCTTGGCACTGGGGAAGGGATGCCTGGGGGGCTTCAGTCCTTCCCACAGAGTGAGCCCTGGGGGGGGCTCCTCAATCAAACAGGCACCATCAGCAGAGATGGGGCCATGTTAGTGGGGGTCTCGTTAGGGGCCAGGGAAGGGCCATGCTGTGGGTCACCCCTGAAGGTGTCTAGGGCAGGGGCAGCTCTGCTGGGCTGGGCATATCCTCTCCGAAACCTGGTGGGGCTCCCAGCTGCCTTTCTACCCACTGGGAACCCCGCTCCCCCACCCCAGAGCAGCCCCCTGTCTGCACTGGGGTGAGCAGGGCAGGAGGCACATAGGGAGTTGTTGTTTGAGGGGTGCAGGGCTGGACCCCACACTGTGAATTGGGGACTTGGGAGGGCTTTATCCCCCCTGTGTGCCCTGGGCAAGGGCCTCCCCCCACCTGGAGACGCCAGGGTGGGGGTCCATTGCAGAGCTGGCAGTGGGGCTGAGGCAGGTGGGGGAGAGGTGACTGTCGGGGGGCAGCAGGCAGCGGCGGGCAGGGGCACGGGAAGGCCTCCAGCACGCAGCCGTGCGCCGGGAGCCCATTTCCCCACAACAGGGGCTGTTATCAGCGGCAAAGACTCGGAGTGGTCCCAGGGGGGACCTCCAGCCCTTCCCCTCCACCTACCCCACCGCTCTCCTGCTCCGGCCCACGTCAATGCCGCCGCGAAGGTGTCGGAACAATCGCCTGACAAAGAGCTATTTTTAGGGGCCGGGGCTCGGAGCGAGGATACGGCCCGGCCGCTGACAATGGGGGGAAGGGGGCCGGGCTTCCCCCGTGACCACTCGGCAGCAGAAGGACCTGTAAGATTTCCTCGATGACCCAGGCCTGTACAATACAAGGAAAGCGCGAGAGGGAGATACCCCCGCCAAGAGGAGCTGCTCCTTTACCTAATGGGAGTGACCCGGGGTGAGGGGCTGTGAGATTCGGGCCAGCAGCACCTCCCGTGGGGGGAGACTCCCACACCGTGAGGGAAACGGGGTGAAGCGTGGCTGTGCTCAGCTTTCCATGGGGGAAAAAAAAACACCTCCCCAGTTCAAGAGAGACAGGGAACTACTGGAAAGGGTCCAGCGTAGGGCAACTAAGATGATTAAGGGACTGGAGCATCTCTCATGAGGAAAGGCTGAGAGAGATGGGACTCTTTAGCCTGGAGAAGAGAAGGCTGAGGGGAGACCTAATTAATGCTGACAAGTTAAAGGGCGGTTTGAGGGAGGATGAAGATGGACTCTTTTCAGCGGTTCCCAGTGACTGGACGAGGGGCAACGGGCACAAGCTGGAACATGGGAAGTTCCATTTGAAAAAACTTCTTTACAGTGAGGGTGGCAGAGCCCTGGATCAGGCTGCCCAGGGAGGGTGTAGAGTCCCCTTCTCTGGGGAAGATCTCTGGAGATCTTCAAGACCCGCCTGGATGCCATCCTGAGTGACATGCTCTGGGCAACCCTGCTTTGGCAGGGGAGTTGGTCTGGATGATCTCTAGAGGTCCCTTCCAACTCCAACAATTCCGTGATTCTCCTCCGGAGAGCCTCGGGGGGAGGCTGAGCTGGCTCCTGTCTGCTTGTGCCACACACCCACATGCTGAAGGGCATGGGGTTCTGGGCACAGGGGGAGGTCCAAGGGGCAGAGCGGTGCAGACGTGGCTCAGCACAAACCCCTCTCCCCTCGGGGCTGGCTCACAGCTCCAGGAGGACTGTAGCACCTGGCGAGAGCCCATCTGCTGTGACCAGCCAGGGCTCCATGTCCCCAGCTCGCCCCATTCTGAGGGTGCCATGAACCAGGGGGGCTCCGCGTGGTTCCAGGGGAGGCAGCAGAGGGGGTAGGGCTGTGCCCCAGGGTTTCCTCCGGCTCAGCCTGTGATAGAGGGGTCGCTGGACGATTTGCTTTGGCCAACCCTTGGGGGTAAAGCTCATTCCCACTGGAAATTGGGGCTAAAAACACGGAAAGCAGCGAGCGAAGATCGGTGGGCCCGGGAAGAGGTCAGGGCTCAGCCCCGCTTTGGGCACGGCGCTGCCACCGCTGCCGGGGGAAGAGCCCCTGCCACATCCCCCGCAGCCGAAGGCTCGGCCATGCCCCGCCGCCGCTCTGCCGCGACCCCAGGCCTCGGGGCCCAGAGGGCGGGCGGGCCGTGGGAAGGGCCGCCCCCGCCGCGGGCCCGGCTCGCCTCGGCAGGCCGCAGTTGCCACCTGGCGGTGGGCCCCGCGGGTTGCCAGCTGGCGACGAGGTGGGGCCGAGGCGGGCGGGCCGCGCTGCGCTAACGAGCCCCGCCGCCTCGCCGCGCTTCAGCCTCTCGGAGGGGCGCGAAGCGGGGACAAGGCCCGAGACACCCCCCCGCCCCGGGCCTCCCCGCGCCACCGGGGCCTCCACCGCCGCACCGCGGACTACAGCCCCCACAACCCCCTGCGGCGCGCTTCCGCCTTCCCCCCGCATGCGCGGCCCCACCAAGGGGAGACGGGATTTCCGCTTCCGGCGCGCCTCGCTCTGGTCCCTGCGGCTGGCGGCCGAGCCTTGTGCCTCCGCCATATTGTCTGTGTGCGGCCGGCGGGCGGGCGGCGAGCGGGCGGCCGCGGCAGGTACCGGCGGGCCGCGGCGGCTCCGGTGCTCCTTCTGGGGTCCTGCGGCGGGGGCAGACGGAGGGGACGATGGGGAAAGGCGCCACCGTGTCTCCCGCGCCGCCCCCCCCTTCTCCCCTCCCCCAAGCTGCTGCGGGCACGGTGTGGGCAGAGGGGCTGGGGCCGCCCCTCAGGAGAGCTGGGACGCGATGGGGGGGCTCGGTCCGGCGCCGCTGAGGGGGAACGGGCGGCGGCGGGGAGGAACGGGCGGGCCTGGCGCGGCGAGAAGGGCAGGGCCCGCCGCCTCCTGCCCGTGAAGGGGGCCTCCGAGCCCCCGGGGTGGGGAGCGGGGCCGGCCGGGGTGGGGGGGCCGCTTCGGCTGTCCTCAGCCTGGCCTGGGACCAGCTCTAGGGCCGCTGGCTGCCCCCGGCCACACAGGAAGGGCAGGGCCCCACGGAAGCGTACCCTTCCCCTCCCCCCAGCTCTCCGGGTTCGCACGTTTAGGCAGTGGAGGTGTTATTTACTTAAAAGGGTCCGTCTTTCTTTTTCCCCGCCCTGCCCCAAAAAGCAGGGGGGGGTGAGGTGTGCGGAGGGGCAAGGAGAGGCCTATTTCTTCTTGCTCCCACCCCCAGCTGCGCAGGGACTCTGTTCTGGGCCTTTCTGGGTGGAGGGGAAGGTGGTTTTCACAGATTTCCCCACAGGTCGCTCTCCTCTTCTGAAAACAGTGGTGGTCAGTCTCATCCCTCCTGTAATTTAGTTAATTGTGCCTTGAGGCAACAGACTGTGTGGCTGCTGGTAAAATATGCCATGTAAATGAAAAGGGAGATAAGATTATGAAACCTGATGAGTGTTGTTTGCCAGATTACTTTATTCTTTCTTACTAAGGGCTTTGGGTACAACCAATAAAGTTTGGATTATAAACACTCAGTCATCGGTATATTTTCTGCTGACAGCAGTGGTTGATCTGTGCAGAGGCTCATGAGGGCTTGTGCCTCAGTTCTGCGAGCTAAATTTATGGATCCTGAGCCCGTGTTGTTCGGTGTTTCGGTCCTTCATACCCGTGCTGAAAGTTCCTGTGAGAGAGGTCTGCAGTGGTGTGGGGTTTGTGCTGATCAAACCTGCCACCAGGATGGGGTCTTGGAGAGCTGCTCTCACTCTGACCGTTGATGCCAGGCTGCAAAACTGGGTGCTGTGTGTGTCTCTGGAGGCAGCAGTGCTGTGTGCTCCACGTGTGCTCACCTGGCTCCTGGAAGCTCTGTCCTCAGTGTGCTCTGTAAGTGAAGAGCAGCTCATTCTGCATCTGAGGGTCAGCACCTCTCAGAGGTGACGGGGAGCAACATCACCTTTTTAGAGAGAAGCACCTGGAGACAGCAGAATTTCTGCTTGGGGGCAGGTAGCAGTTTTGTTTGTTGTTTGAACGCTTTCTTTTCAACAACATAATAGTTGCTCAAAGTATTCAGGCTCAAGCTGAGTTGGTGTTCATGCAGTGTTGCCAGTCACTCTGGGTGTTGGGTTGGACTCTGCCAGCGTGGATTCCAGGTGTAGCATAGGTAGGTGCAGAGAAATGGCTTGTCTTGTGCATTGTTCACATCAGTGTGATGTGGGGAAGGGCAGAGCTTGTGCTAGGAGAAGGGAGGCTGAGCTTGGGAAGACTTTAGGCAGGATTTGGGGAAAGTGTGAAGCTTGATCAGCTCCTTAATTAGTCTTAAAACTAGGACTAGGGTAATGTTCCAGTTCTTCCAACAAATGCTGTGCCTGGGTACATACCAACAATGGTACGTCCTCTGTGGAGGCACACTCTGTGTCTGTAACTGGAAAAAGAAAACTGGATTAAGATGCGGCTCCCGCTGGCAGAAGAGTGATCCGTGTACAGGGCAATCTGCTCCCTGCCCTCAGGAGAAGATCTCCCCATGTCTTTGGGCTGGAAGTCCAACTCTTTGGATGCCTCGTCACAGAGAAGGGCTTATTGTAAAGGTTCAGACTTTGCTTGACTTTGAAGTATGTAGATGTTTGGTGGTAGGCAGTGATCTTTCCCTTTCACCTTGGCAACAGAGAGAGATTTCCTTCCCTCCTCCCCCACCATTTCTCAGTTACCTGGTCATATAATTTCTGTTATTTATATATAGTTAGTGAAACCTCACTGTTTTCTAGTTCCCAGTGTGGGTGGTAGCAGAGAGTTCAGTGAACAAGTCCTGCAGCTCTGAGCAGTGAGTTAGCAGAGTCAACTGCTGCCCATGAGGAGTTGAAACAGGGTTGAGAGACATCAATGCTTGAGCAAGGAAGGCAACGCCATCTCGGCCTTGGCAAAGAAGAGGAAATTGTTGTAGTTGAATAGCTGGGTAATGTGCTGTGGTGGGGATAAACCACAGAACCACAGCATGGAAAAATGTGGTAAGAGTGTCAGGTGCTGGAGGAGAAAGCAGAGACTTCCAAGTAGGAGATACCAAGCAGGTTCTCTGGGTTTGGTGGGGTACCTGGGTTCATGGATTGAGGAGAAATGGTTCTGTTGGGAATATGGTTGTTTGGAAGAGGGATGGTAAAATTGGTGGTAGGTTCTAGCAAGTGTGGAAGAAATTGGATCATGGAATGTTTCATGAAATTAGGTGGAGTTTAGTTTTGTGCAGGGGCAGTTAATGGTACTCATTTATTTGAAAAAAAGCATTGAAAAAATGTGAGAATGAAGATGGAGACCTGTGAGTGGGGATTACTGGGCAAAGTCTTGGTAAAATATTGTTTCCTGAAGGTGAGATGTGGAAAGACTTTAGTATTTGAGATTTGGGGCAATTTCAAGTGGTGCAGGTTAGGTATGTGGATGTGAAATGGGGTTTTGGTAGGAATCTTGGGAAGGCAGGATGTCAAAAGGTGGTTATAGATTTGTGGAACTGTAGAAATTATGTTTCTAATATGACAAAAGGGACAGGGATGTAAATTTTCCCAGTTCTATGAAATGGCGGGTGTCCTTATACCTTCCACTCAAATTCTTTCTCTGCATTTTCTCCTTGCAGAACTAGTTTTCTCTTTTTGTCTTTCCTCACGTCCTCTGAGGAATAGGGGAAAGGAAGACAGGAGAAGCAAATGGGTGACATTGTGGTGGTGTGATTAATTTCATGTCACATTTCTGAAGAGGCAGGGATTTATTTCTGGGTTACCAGACCTGTCACCTCTACTGTTCCACCATTATTGAATTGCTTACATTAAGGTATCTGCTTTATAAACTGTCTGGGTGAGACTGGTGCCATCTTAGATTTTATTATCCCGTAAGGGTCTTCAGAGAATAAACCCCACAGATTTTAAGATGAAGAAGGACTGCTGTGACTCAGTCTGGCTACAAACATTGTCTGGTTTTGATTGCGAGAAAACTCTTGGATAATTTTTCTGAGCTTGGATATCTCCTTCCAGGGGCTTCCAAGAGCTGACTTCCCTGGAATTTACAGAACTTAATTGGAGAAAAGGAGTTCTCCTTTGGACCTAGAAAAGCTGCTTTGAAGAGAAGAGTGCAGCTTTCTGAACTGGCATTAGGGCTGTTGCTGAAAGCAGAGTGTTTTTACAAGCTGGTTTTGGACCCTGTTTGCCATCGAGGTGCCAAACCTGTCTGTCGATAGGAGAGATTGATAAGAAATGGGATTGTTGATGTGGCCATAGGATCAATGGTTCATGGATATCTTCTGCTGCTCAGGCGTCAGCAGTGGAGGAACAGCAACATCAGCCTGGCACGAGTCTTACCTGCTCCTTTGTTCAGCCTCTTCTGGTCTGGACAGTTTTATTCAAACAAATTATTTTATTATGCGTTTCATGCTGCTGCTTTGGGAAGCTGAAGAGCGGAAGGGGAAACCTTGGAGTTCTTTGCAGACTCAAGACAATATTGCCACAGGCTCACTTTTGGAAGGTTAAAATTTCAGTAATTTTAATTTTCCACAGTTTATTTCTCAGTGTTAGGCTGTGTCCTTCTTGTGACCGATTTCTAAATTTTAAGGAATATTACAGTTTGCAGGGAGGCACTCTCTAAAGCAGGCTGTCCAGCTGCTTAATCTAATGGCTGGATTATATTATGGCAATTTACTTGAAGTGAATGGTGGATAAAATCTGTACTAGATGGAAGCAGAAAATCATTTTGGACCAAGGTGGAATTTGGCTGCAGCTTGCCATTTGCATAATCGTGTCTTCGAGTGTTAACAGCAGCCCTAGAAAAATGAAGTTATTCTGTCCATTTTTGCACAGAAGCAAACCTCTGCCCTTGCACCTTCTGGAACAGCCAAAGGGTAAAGTGTTTGTTGGTTTTTATTTTTTTTTAATTAAGCTAAGTGTAGGCAGAGTCCAGCGTGTTCTGCGGCGTTAACACAATTACGTGCCAGAACTTGCTTTCACTGGGTGGGAGAGGTCTTGTCATGTTGTGAAGAAGTGCTCCCAAAGTCCTCCTGCGTGTCCAGGGAGGGGAAGTGGTGCCTCTCCCGGGTTCTTGCCAAAGCCCTTGGAGGAGGCAGTTTCTCAGCACGTCTTTTTTGCACGCGTGTGCGTGAGTTGTCAGTAAATCTTTATTTTTAGTGTTCTGAAAATGGATGAGCGTGGATGCGCACAACAAATTAATTTCCCGTAAGGCAAGAGCTCCTGCAATGTTGCTTTTCTTACCAATTTTCTCACAGATTTCTCTGTTAAATTCTAGCCTGGCCTTCTGCAGATTAAGCAATGCTTTAATTGTACCCTAGAAGGAAAAGGAGGAGTTTTTGCTCACTGAGGAAGTTGTGCAGCATCCAGATTAGTTTCAACTGAGTTTACAAATTAGAAGTTACAGGTTTTTGGTATTTTAGAATGCCTGGCATCCAGGCATATGTCCAACATACGCGTTTTACCAGGCATATAAATACATACTCATCCTAAGCTGTGACTTAGTGCTGCACGGTGGCTTTAATGGGTGATTGCAAAGTGTGAAGAAAGACGCTGTGGAGATGGACAAATGTGTCTTTGTATGTGGCCAGCAGTGGTGTGGGTTTGTTTGGCGTGGCGAGGGTGGGTTCAGCATTCGT